ATCCATTGAAACTACAGGACCTTACGCTGAGTGAAATAAGCCAGACAGAGAAAGATAAATACTATATGACCTCACTTCTATGTGGAATTTAAGAAGAGTTGAACTCATAGAACCTGAGAATAGAATGGTGGTACCAGGGGCTGGGGGTGGGAGAAATGGGGAGATACTGGTCAAAAGGTACAACCCTTCATTTACAAGATCAAGTTCTGGGAATCTAATGTACACCATGGTGACTATTCTACTACCAAATACTGTATTGCTAAGGCAGTAGATCTTAAATGTTCTCACTACACACACACAAATCGTAACTCTGTAAAATGGTGGATGTGTTAATTTGATTTTAATAATATTTCACAAAGTATACATACATTGAATCATCCCATGGTACACTTCAAATGTATAGAATTTTATTCATCAATTATATCTTGATAAAGCTGGGGAAAAAAGAATAAAAGAGACAGAGTGGTACTGGCATAAGAATCACAATTAGGCAATGGAACAGAATTGATTTTAGAGAAATTTAACCCTTACACGTACAATCAAATGACTTCAAAAAGCATGCCAAGCCATTCAGTGGGGGAAAGATTAGCCTTTTCAATAAATGGTGCTGGTTCATTAAACATAAAAACTAAATAAAAATATAAATACTATTATTCCCTTCTAGCACAAAGAGATGGTCTTGGAATTTTGAATTTAGGTGAACACTGTTGTAGAAGAGGAATTAATAAGGTAATAATGTTTTGTGATAACAATAAGATGTCTGCATACTAAGTATTCCAAGTAGAAGACTGAACTCTATTCAACCTACTGGTTTTCTTTCTTCTAAAAGCTCCAGGTATGTATCACGCCAAAATCAAAACACCTTCCTCTGAACGTTTTGTGGGTCTAAATTTTGCCTATTATTTTAATCATTCAGAGATAGTAATTCTTTTTTTTCAAATCATGGTAAAATTTGAATTAATATATAACTGACCAAATGTGCCTTGGATACTCCCTAACCATGAAAATTATAATACAATGAATAATAAGTTCACCAATACCAAGAAAAGAGCATAATAGAGCCCTGAACTAAAGTTACCCTTTAAAAGAGAAAAGTTCTCTACAATATTCTCTAGTCTCCTCTAGGCCACAAGTGAACTATTACACAAAACACAAAAACAACATAGAAAAAAATTTTAAGTGGGTGTTAGCATATTTTAGCCAAGCAAATACTTCCAAATAATAAAATTAAGGGTGCTCTACTAATGTTTTAGCCAGACAAGTAATACAGACACAAAATAGTTGCTGGCCAACAGTAAAGAGAGCAAGACTTTAGATATATTTGTCAAAATGTTGGTGTAATGAGAAGGGCCAGAAGCCATGTGTGTGTTTGGCCAAAACAGTCACAGATAATGACTAGGAACCAGACACCAGGCTATATTTTTTCATGTCTAGTCTCGCATTGATTCCTCAGAACAACTTCCCTGATTGTGGTATTATCTTCATCCTTTCCATTATACAGATGAGAAAACTAAGCTTTAAAAAAGTTAGCATCTAAGCCCACTCTCCTCCAGATAATACTTGAGAGTGTAGCAGCCCCAGTCCAAAGCTTTTCACCACAATATTATACTTCTGGGTGCTTCACCTTGGTTGATTTTGGCTAGAAAATAATTACGTGCAGATGAATGCTTGAGCCATTAGACCCCAAAGAATCATTTGTTTGTGGAAACATCTGTTCACTTGGCAAGTATCTGAGGTTTAAATATAATTGCATAGTTTGGTCTAGAGAATTAGAACTTCCAGAATTATGAAACTTTGATCATCAAAAGGACCACCTACAGACAGCCTCTGCCTTCTATAATAGAACTTCCCCTGGAAAACCCAGGGGATCATAAGAATGTTCCCCTCCTCACGATCATGACTTCATTCCCAGTCCAGGAGGCCACGCACCCTTACTCCACCTTTTGGAAACACTTTTTTCCATGTTTGAGAAAAATGGAAGCATCTACACTCATTTTTTATAGAAAAGCAAAATAATAAACAATTTGAAACCTGAGTTTCTTAGGATTGAATACTTTTGGATGACAATTGTATGGATAGAAAAGACTTGCTTGCTGAGTGTATTACTCCTGGGATTAAAACAAATCCTAATTTAAAATACAGCTATAGGATTGGTTAAACAATAAAAGAAATAATAAAATGACAGTTGCTTGCCTATAGATTTTTCAATGTCCCTCTTAATATACAGCACCAGACTTGGATATAATACTTTGGAAGCACTCAGAAAGCAAGAATATAAGAAGGCTACTGCAAACTTCTATTACTGACTTCTTAGCTTTATTACAAAATTGAATTATCAAATTAATAATTAGAGAGTCATTAATATCTCAAGTACTTCAATGTGTGGTATCTTTAAGCCACTCTCTCCCTATTCTTATGCAATTTTTTGGCCTCAGATTAATTTGTCATTTTTAACCTCTGAGGTCTTTGTGAAATCCATCAACTAATCCCTTAGAAATTCCTACATCTTTTTTAACATCTCCAATTCTCCCTGAAATTATGAATACAAATACAAAAGAGGACAGGATCAAGTCTGGCACCGTGTCCCTCCAATGTGACACAGTCATCATGAAGGCCAAGATGATACATCACTTTCTGTTCATATTCCTGTCACATGTCATGTTAACTACTTTCTCCAGGTTATCATGATCAGTATCATTTATTCTTCCTTCAGGTTGATGAAATGTTATCCAGACAAGTCAAGATCATATTAGAGGAAACATTTTCAGCTAGTAATATATCTTACTTATATCTATGGTAATTCATATCAAGAAAACTGTTTTACATTTTCCGACTAGTCTGGTAGTTTTTTTAAAATCCTTACAGTGACCAATCTTGTGTTTCTCTCTTTTTTCACACTGACCCAGATATCCTCCAGCCTCCTTCCCCTGTCTCAGATGATTTTTCACTTGTGTACTCTAATTGAATCTCTTGCTAACATATATTTTGTTACCATATTTAGACAGTATGTTGATAGACTTGTGTTATCTCAGATATTGGATCTGCTTTTTCTTTTCTGTTGTTGCCCTGTGTTTGATGGGATACTTGAGTTCTTCCATGGACTCTAATCTTCAGTCAGTCTTGACTACACTGGCAAGTCTCTAGACCAGTCTTATAGTCTGGGCCAATGTTTCCCCATGTGAAGGCTCAGATTACTTGCATGAGAGATGCTGTTTCATGAGATGTGGGAACGGGTCCAGAAAGCTGTATTTCTAAAAAGCAATATATATGATTTTTAAGAATACAAGTCTGGCAGCCCCAAATACTGAGGTCTGGTTTTTCCCAGTTCTGGAGACATGTTCTCTTCTCCACTACAGAGTCTTCATTTAAATAATTTAAAGCAGTCTAGAGAGCAAATAAATTCTCTTTTCTGGACAGCTTCTAAAAGAGTAGAAGTGGGAGATAATATTATATCTAAAACCTTTAATCCTCAAAAGCACTCTTCAAGTCAGATACTCAAAGAGATTAATTAAGTGGCTTGCTCAAAGTTATACAGATCATGGTTAATAAAGAATTTAAACCAAAGTTGGCATGAATCCAGTGCCTGAGATGATGGCAACATATCATGCTATCCTACTCAACTGCATTCTCTTAGCCAGCAATGGAGACCAGTTTAGGATTGAAGCTATTGGAAAGGAGAAGATAAGCAATCTGTACTAAAAGGAGACAAGGCGACTCAGGGCAGGAAAATGGGGAAGGAGAGCAAGGCCACCCCCAACACACTCTTAGATGGAAGCTGAGGTCTGAGTATATGCTGGAGACAGCTGCCAAAGAAACTGAAAAGATACAGAAGGCCTCACAAGGAATGAGGTAAATTCAAGGCACCTTAAGGAAGAGCAAGTCAATCTGTCCCCTAACCCTCAAGTATGGTGAGACAATTCCAAGATGGGTTACAGTCAGATATTGATCACTAAGTTAATTATTCAACGAAAAACTAAAGATCCTCTAAGAAATATGGTTTATGTATATGACATAAGTCAGATGTTCATATCTGAAAAACTGGGGAAAGAATAAAGTGGGTTTTTGGAAACATTTAGCGAATTGATCATTTGAATTTTTTAACTGGGTGATTTAATTAAAAGAAAACATGTAAAGAAACAGATTAGAAGGATTCAATATCCACACAAAATTTTTTCATTCACTTATTATTTACTCTTTCATTTGTCAAACATTTATTGACTTCCTACTATATACCTGGAGTTAAGCTAAATGCTGGGGTGTTATTTCAGGTTAAGATCATTCAGTAAACATGGGGTGAATATATGAATGAATGGATGGAATGAATGAATAAAAGGCTTAACAAACAATCACATGAATTAGAGAAAATGAACAAAGTATACAAGGAGATCTTCGCTAGCTCTCTGCAAATAACCTTGGCTGAATTAGGAAAGTCCAAACCTTCAATTCTTGGTCCTTTCTGATGAGCCTCTATCTACAGATCTAAAGTCTCACACTGACGGTCAGGGAGTCTTTCAAGTTTACTGTGAAGCTGTAATATTCATGAGGCATTCCATGGCCACTCAGACTTTTTATTGAAGTATACGAGAAAAGATCCTCAGTCAAAGATAGCTTCTACTCACTTCTAGCTTCTAAAAATAGATAGCTTCTAAAAATTCATCTTTTAGGCAGGCAAGACAATCATAGACAATGCGAAGGAAAAAATCTGCAACTTCTGGTTTTTCAACAAAAGTTGTCTGTATAAAGCTATCAGCTAAGAATTGAAATAATTAAAACCCAAGGTAGTGTGTTTGTTTATGAGCTCTAGCATGTCTATTTGACAACATGAAAACAGAAGATCTTCAATATGAGTGATGACAATAATGTAAACTATATACTTTTCTCATAGAGACTAAAATAAACACTCATTTCTTTTATATTACAATTCAATAAAAATGGGCCCAACATGTTTTTTAAAAAGACCATAGAAATACTCTTTTGTTAAGACATGGAGGTGCCGTTACCATGTACATGCAGTTGAATGGGCTGCTGTGTTTCTCCAGCTGCATTGGTAGCCACGCATGTGTATCTGCCAGCATCTTCCATCAGGGCTTTGGCAATTTGTAGAAGTCGACCAGAAGACTGTATCTAATTGGGATCAAAAAGGATGGCAACATTCTGTACTTTACACGTGGACTTGAAAATATTTGCTGAATAGACAAACTCATTTAAGTTTATAATATCTAATTATATTCTTACGCTGGTATCTTAATTACCTTTTGACAAATTAGAGCCAGATCGCTTCACCATGCACAAGAAAACAGACTATTTTGAGTGAAAAGCTTTTCTTATGCATTGGAAAACACAAAGTAAAGTTACCTAAGGCCAGCCTGCTGGTATAGTCATAAAAGTCCACTGAATAAAAACGCTTTAGCACTGCAACTATGAGGTATGTGATGAAAATGTAGCTATTTGAAAAAAAAACATGGTTATATTTATATAACACTTCATAAATAGTTTTAAAACAACAATCTTTTTTGATTAAATGGTCACAGGGGCCAGAAAAACAATAAAAAATTATAAAATATGAGTAATGGAAATGCAGATAAATTTCCTCCTGTCTGGTTTCCCTTATTCCCCTCTTAAGCACACGACAACTGGCCTCCACCATTTTGGAACTCGTGATTTTGTGGTTATACTTTGAAAATGATTATTCAGGGGTTAGCAGTAACTTCCTTTTTTTAAGATTTCTTTTGACATGGGCCATTTTTTAAAGTCTTTATTGAATCTGTTACAAGACTGCTTCTGCTTTATGTTTTGGTTTTTTTCAGCTGTGAGGTATGCGGGATCATAGCTCCCCAACTAGAGACTGAACCCCCTGCATTGGAAAGCAAAGTCTCAAGTATTGGACCACCAGGTAAGTCCCACCAGTAACTTCTAATCCCAGCACCCAGCAGTCTAGGCAGTGAGCTAATACTATAGCATTTGGCATTGTGGACTTCCTACTCCTTCAATCACTCCTCTCTCTGGTAGCTGAAGAGACAGTACTCCCTCAGTTTTCACTCTCTGACTTTCTTAGTAGATTACAGAACCTGCTTTCTCCTCCTGTCCCATAAACAGGAAACTTGGCTCTCTGATAGTTTTCATCCAAACCCATGTCTTCAATGAAGAATCCTGTGCAGGCTCCTAAACTTACAGGACTGGCCTCAACTTCTCTCCTGAGCTTCCAACTGTCTGCTGGACAAGTCAGCATATGAAATGTAACACCTCCAAAACAAAGCTTATAACTGTTTTCCCCATATTTCTCAACCTAATTCTCATGTCATGTTTCCAGTCTTGTTTAATGGCACTGGTCATCTGGGTTTCAGAGGCCACTTTGATTCTCCTAGTAATCAGGCCATGCTATGTTTCTCAGATCCCTTGTCTCCATTCTCACAGCCACTGTGGGATTATAATAGCTCCTTAATTTATATTCCAGTGTCTCCAGCCTCCCAAACTGCTAATCTGCCTTGCATACTGTTGCCAGAATAATTTGTCTAAAACGCAAATTTGATCCTTTTACCAGTCCCCCTTCAAAGCTCATTCATGGCTCACCACTTTGCCCAGAACGAAACTGGAGCTCAGCAAAACCTTCCAGGCTCACCACATTCTGACCCCAGATGATCTCTCTGTATGCTGCCATGTACACTCCCACTTAACTTCTTCTCCAGCCATACTGTACTAAACATGGCAAGCACACATTCACATACTTATATTCACTTCTGGACTTTCACACATGGCCTTTAAAAAGTGCCATAATTTCTTAAGACTCTGCGTTACATCAGTTTTCTCTCCTGTTTCTTCTCACTCTTTATGCTGCCCTTGAATTAAGTCATCCCTGTCCATGAGTTTCAAATATCATAATGTGGCCATTTCTACAGCTATCCTTTGAGCTCCAAGACCATATATTCAGTGGTCTACCTGGCATCTCCACTAGTTTATTTCAAGATCATCTTAACCCTAAAAAGTCTAAAACTCATAGTTTTTCCCCCTCAAACTTGTCTGCCTCCAAAATCTCCTTTCTCACTGGATGGTATCACTATCTATGCACTTGGGTATATTAGATTCCTACTAGTTTTTCTTGATATTCCCCACTCTCTCACCTGTTATCAACAATCTATAATCAAGCTCTAATGATTTAACCAGTAAATAACTCTCAGATATATCCATGTATCTTCAACTCTGTGGCTGGTAGATGAGTTCAAATTTCTATCTTTTCTCTTCTAGACAAAAATAAATAAGTTCAACTGATTTCTACATATCTACTCTTAACTCCTTCAATTCATTCTCTAAAGAGGCCTAGGTAACTATTGAAAATGTAAGCCTGCTCAAGTCATTTTTCTCTGAAAACTGTTCAAAAACCTCCCATTGCTTTAAAGTGAAAATAAAATGATTAACATGACTCGAATACTTTCTAACATCCTCTGATCTCTTCTATTATCATTTCTCCCTTGCTCTTGCTTCCCTAAGCCAATGGCTTGCTTTCAGGTTCTCAAGAGGTGTCACACTGCCGTTTAAGTTCTTTGCCCATGAACATCTTCTCTGAAAGATTCTACTCAGCTCTCTTCTATTAACTTTTCCATTAACTCCATGTGTTCTTCACATCTCTCCTTACAGACTTTCTTCATAAATTACCCTCATGCTTTTGGAAGAGGTCACTGAGAGGGAAGTGACCGCCTTCATGACCTGTGAGCTAGACTCAAGCATTTGGAGGCTCCTGACCCTCTCCTCATGTTTGGAATGTGCATTCCATCTGCCTCTCCAGTGCCAGACACTGCCCAAGGATATAGCCTTGAGATAGTAGTGTGGTGTTGAGACCATCTGAACGGATATGTGACTAAACCTAGTTAGGGCCTCTATATAAACTTTTAAGATTTGGTAGGCAGGTGAGGAGATGTACTCATCTCACAAAAATTCAAGAAAAGACTGGAAAGTAAGTTCCCTTGCTTATTAAACCTGCTGCTACCAATCTGGAGTGCTGTGACTCTTTCTGAGGTCTCTCTCTCCCCTCTGAATAGGAAGGTGGTTTCAGATTACACCCGGGAAGCTCCAGGGGTTGCAAACCACACATGCTCAAAGGCAGCATTTCTTATTATCTGTTCTTAAACTTCTCTAAACTCTCTCTTAAAATTACTCATCCCTGTCTCCAATTATCCTTTTGTATGATTATATGATAAATATCTGTCTCATAGGTAAGCAGTTGTTTACCTGCACTATATTAGAAGGCTATGTATTAAATCTTTTGTTAGCACAAAATGTGTGAGATTAATTCCACTAGATTTGGAATAGGAATAATAAATGAACAGATACCATCACTTCTGCCAGGAAAAGAACTTTGCATATCCCTCATTACTGAAACTTACCTCAAGCAAAGTGCAAGCCCATTTTAGTCAATTAACCTGATCTTAGAAGAAAAATCTATTATTTTAAATGTATCATTTAAATCACTCAGGTTTACAATCTACCCATCTCTTAATTCAACAAATATGTACTGACTATAGTTATATGCCAGGGACTACACTCAGTATGAAAGATATAGAAATGAACTTACTCATAGAGACTGGTCTCTGCCATCTTGAAGATTATAAACTAAACTATATTTTCCAAGACATATTTCACCTAGCCTTATGTAGTCATAACTCCACCTTAATCCTAGTCAAAGGTGAACATATTTGGGATACTCTGACTTAGTACTGATGAACTGTTCATCTGTGGGACACTGGTTTTTTTTAACAAGTAAAACAGGCATATGTTGAGATAATATAAATAACAACCACTATGTTAAAATCAACATCATTGCTAAAGTTATTAGTCTTTAATTCCATTTTCAAGTCAAAATATTAAACTAAATTCTAAACAAGCCTAAGGACAACACATAATATTTTAGTGCATTTCCTGCAAAATCTGTCCAACAGGAAAATCTATAGTTAAGAGAAGAGAATATGACAGCTCCTTATATAGTTCTCATCTTCGAAATAATAATATTCATACTTACTTTGAGGTTTCCTTGGGCAGTGTTGACAGGCTGTCCATCTTTCAACCATGTAATAGATGGATTTGGAATGCCATTAGCTATGCACTGCAAGGTGATGGGTTTGTACTTTAATACAGCTCTCTCAGAAAGACCGGAGGATTTGATTGTTGGAGGAACTAGATTTAAGGAAAAGAAAAGAGAAGGAAGGAAAGAAAGAAGGAAGAAAAAAGAAAGTTGAGGAGGGGACAGAGGGCGAGAGGGAACAAAAACTGTAATCAGGAGGATCAATACATAAAGATCTGTATTCCAAAACTTGAAAGTTTAAAATTTAGAAAGGAAAAGATCACAAAATAACAAACAACAAAATAAATTCACCAATGCATTTCATTTATAATTTTTAGCAATTTTAGAGTTACATATTTTTAAGTAGGATCTCTAATTCTCCAAAGAATAAGTAAAATGTGTTTACAGCAACTGCAATCCACATGTATATTTGGCTTGCAACCTTTTGGTCTGTTTTCCTAATGTATTATGACCTTCCATTTCTCCAGAACTGCCTCATTTAATCAGGGTGCATTTCTAGTATCCATATTTATACCACATGAATCTGTCCCCAGCAGGGCTGATTAAATCCATAATGGTACTCTGATTTAAGCTGAGCTTGCCAGATTTCCTCCCTCAAGAACTGGAATTGACAGTGAGAAATGGGATTGGCTATATTCTATCATGGGATTGAAAAAGTGGGGGAAAAAAAACAATCTGCCTGGGAAGATTGAAACGGATGTTCATAGAAACCTCTGCTTGTAGCTTCCAAAGGCTCTCCAGTTTCTCATTACAGTCCTTCTCTTCCCAAGGACAACCAGCAAATGAGATACATAACACCCCGGCAGAGGTTTGCTGTTGTCAGAGTCATGGTTCTAACCCTATTATGCCAGTTCCAAGAATACACATGTGCCCTGGATCCCGCATCATACCTTCAGCCTCCATTTCTGGAAATGACTTAATTCACACTCCCTTCTGTTTTGGCTGAAAGCTTGAATGCTTATAACCCCCCTTTATTTGCTGCCTATCTCTTCTTTGATCTCATTGCTCAGGCCCTTTCATGCTATGTAGAATATACCTCCTACCATTTAAATTCCATCTCAATTCATTCATATGGTTATCTCGTGGTTAAATCTTCCGTGTTAGTAAAGTGCCTTAAAATTTTCCATTATTTAACTCAACTTTTCATCCAAATTCACATTCAAATTTGCACTACTTTCCATAATGCAAGATTTATCTAGATTAATGAGTCACAATCTGAATTAGATACTGGAACGATGCGTAAATGAATTCTCAGTGAAATGTTCCTGTCCCTTCTTCAGCATACCATGAACAGTTACTTCAAACTCCTTCATGTGGTCTCCAGCAGCGTTTGTTGCTACACACCGGTAAAGGCCTGTGTCTGACACCTGAGCCTGGGCAATAACCAGTTTGCGTCCATTTAGTAAGATCTTGAATCCATCTCTTTCATCAATGAGCTGGCCATCCTTCAGCCACCTACAGAAACAGAGCAAAAAGAAGTCTGGAGATATATTTTAAATAACTGCATTCCTAAATCATCAGTCAACCACTCTATCTATTTTGGAGAAACTACATTTACTAATATATATTGGGCTTATATATTTATATATGTCGGGAAGATCCCCTGGAGAAGGAAATGGCAACCCACTCCAGTATTCTTGCCTGGAGAATCCCATGGATGGAAAAGCCTGGTGGGCTACAGTCCACGGGGTCTGCAAAGAGTCGGACACGACTGAGCAACTTCACTTTCCTTCCTTACACATATATTTGGGCTTCCCAGGTGGCACTAGTGGTTTAGAATCCGCCTGCCTAATGTAGTAGATATAAGAGATAAGGGGTCAATCCCTGAGTTGGGAAGACTCCCTGGAGAAGGGCATGGCAACCCACTCCAGTATTATGCCTGGAGAATCCTATGAACAGAGGAGCCTGGCGGGCTACAGTACATAGGGTCGCAAAGAGTCAGATACAACTGAAGCAACTTAGCACAACACAGAAGAGGATGATATATTTATATGTATTTTCAATTATGTACTTGCCTAATTTCCCATTTGCTCACTCTATGAAATAAACTGGAAATCAGGAAAAGAAAAAGTTTAAAAAGAAGTTGGCATATTGTAGGAAACCAAAGAACTATGTGTACAGGTCTTCATTTTTTTATTAATGCCGGGCTACAGAAAGAGGCAAATGCTCCTACACGTCTCTCACTTCCAATGTTTAGATAACATTAACAGCAAAACACACACAATCCTAAAACATCTGTAAAATAAAACTCTAAAATCATATGGTATTTTATAAATCTTAGTTTATTATGAGTTATCACTTTCCATTTAGTTTATAGTCATGTGCGTGTGCTTAGTCGCTCAGTCATGGCCGACTCTTTGCGACCCCATGCGCTGCAGTCCACCAGGCTCCTCTGTCCATGGAATTCTCTGGGTAAGAATACTGGGGTGGGTTGCCAAGCCCTCCTCCAGGGGATCCGAACCCAGGTCTCCCTCATTGCAAGCAGATTATTTACTGTCTGAGCCACTAGAGAAGCCCATAATCATGTGTGGAGCTATTTTATTCCAACAACAAGTTGAGCATCTGTTCGTTTGCACATCCCATAGCACCTCGGAAATGAAAGGTAAGTAATCAAGAAATACTTTGTGAATGAAGGAATGAGAAAAAAAGAATTGGTAGTCATATATTCATGTTAAGTTCTTCTATTTCTCTAATATTTCTGGTACACTGTTTTAAATCTATTTGTTCATTAAACATCTCAGTGCTTCAAGAAGATCTGACAGATAATGCTTAATATTCTGTTTCTATGAATTGAAAATGTAATTTTTAAGAGCATATAATGAATTCCTCTAATGAAGCAGATTTATGGGCCCTGTGAGTATCAGATAAAAGTTGTCTTGCATTGAGTTAGGCAAAAAGCTTACTCAGCTTTCTTCTGTCAAATGATATTTTTGGCCAACCCAATTACAGAATACATCTTTTAATAAAAGAGGTATATAAACAGTATAACTTTATACAATCACTTTTTAGTGACACAGAACCTCTTTCAAAATAGCTTTAAAACTCTCAAATAAAAAAGTGGGAGGTATTTAGAAGACATACCAAAGCCCTTACATGATAGTTGGTGGAGGAGAACCTGTCACTTGACAATCTAGTTCCAGCAAGTTATTGACAATTACAATGAAGTAAGACGTTTCATCTCCTCCTTCTATAGCTGGTGGCACTACAAAAAAAGAGGGATGAAACATACAAAGAAATGTATAAAAGAGAAAATACAGTATCACATTAAGCAATACTAAGCTGTTCTTTAGAAGGCTGATAAGTATCACAGTCATTTGGTACATGAAGGACACTTGAAACGGACTCTAAGGTATATTTTATAATATGCATTTGCCAGGGTCAATAAATATACTTTTGGCACACTGCATTTTTCTCAGCGAATCTAGCACAATGGCACTGCTGATGCTAAGAGAACATAGTTGATTCATACTTTATGTTGTTTATTGTCATTAGAATACGACAAGGGAACCTCAAAAATTGGGCCTGCATTGGAAGCTTCATTTCATAAAGAGAGACTCAAGGCTACCAGATGACGTCCCAAGGTCCACAGACTGTCTCTTGTTGTTTAGCAGTGTTCGTGACACATTGTCACTCAATGCACAGATACTGTCACAGATGTAAAAATGCATCTATCTATTTAAAAAGTATACCTATCAGAATAAGTGGAAGATTCAGGTGGGTTTTTCGATCTTGGGCCTCTGGTGGTCAATCTACCATTCAGTAATATGTAGTCCAGAGTTGAACAGATAAGTAAACCTTCTCTAAGATTGTTTGATTATTTCAAGAACACAAAAGCATTTCATAAACAAGGCAGGCTGTGCAATGAACATGAGAATACAGGGGGTAGCCTTCTCATTTACCTAAGACATCAACTTCGTATTTGATTTCCTTTTCTCCTGCCACACTCGTAGCCACACATATATACTGGCCCCTATCGACTTCTAGGGCACGTGTGATTTCTAGTTTCTTTCCACCAGCTTCTATGTGGATGTTGCCACCGGCTTTCACAGGTACACCGTCTTTCAACCAGGTTAGAACTGGAGGAGGGTGGCCGGCAGCTTTACACTCCAGCGTCAGTGAATGAGCAACAATCACTTGCTTATTCAGAGGTGCAGCCAAGTCACCTTCGATCATTGGAGGAACTAGAGGCAGAAAAAAGCAATATTTCAGGCAATTCTTTGGAACTGTAATGAAATAAAGGGGATTTTTCTTTTTACTCATACAGGTTGACTATAGGAACTATAGTCAAACTATAGTCGTGTCCCTCCTCCACTAAGCTACTGAGGAAAGAATTTTTTGGTTCTGCTTATCTACAACTGTTCTAAATATTGTGGGTTACTCTGTACCATGTCTGGTCTACAAAGGACGAACTACAGAGAAGGATCTTAGTCCTAAGAACTACTTTACACTCTCCATAAAAATCAAATGGTCTAGATTCCTAGGAGTCAAAGGCAAATGATTGACTGAATGAATGATCACTTCTTACTAATCTTAGTTTCTTAAACATTTTTTCCAAATCAGAGGACAAATTCTTCCAATTTCAATACATGAATACAGAAGACAACACAACCCAGCAGGGATTTATCAGTGAACAAATTGGATGTCGGTGTATTAGGAAGCATAGGCAGAAAGCACATAATAAAAACATATGTGTTTTCCTTACCATAGATATCCACATGGAATGATTTTTCAGCAGTTCCAGCAATATTGGTTACTTGACACTTATATGTCGCTGAATCAGAGACCTGTGCTCGAGGGATATGAAGAAATTGTCCTTTTTCAACATAAAGTGCTTGTGAGCTGGATATAACTGGCTGGCCATCCTTATACCAAGTAATAACAGGCATTGGAAGTCCTCGTGTTTCACATTCCAGTTTAATTATGCTGTTGATCAAAGCTGACACTTCTGTGGTGACATTCCCTCCTTTAATACTAGGTGGAACTACAAAGGATTTCAGAACACAAACAAGGCTTCTAAGTTTTAGCATCTGCATAAAAGTCTCAAATGAATGCTCCAAATGTTTAAATAATGCAGTAAAGTAAATGTGAATTAAAGACAGTTAGGAAGTCTGTGATTTATCTACCAATAATTAGTTGCCTGCAGATTCCCTGGTGGCTCAGTGGAAAAGAACCTGCCTGCAAATGCAGGAGATGCAGGATCGATCCTTGAGTCTGGAAGATCCCCTGGAGTAGGAAATGGCAACTCACTCCAGTATTCTTGCCTGGAGAATCCCAGGGCTACAGTCCACAAGGTTGCAAAGAATCAGATACAACTTAGCAACTAAATGATAATAACAACAATCAGCTGCCTGTCTTGTCAAAACAATCTTCATCACCCTCCTTTTGGGAGTCAGATTTCAGTAAAAGTAGAAACTCAGTTTTCATTTCAGGGGTTCATTTAAGTGCAATAGATCATGTTACTGTAACTAAGAAAGTCATGTTTAACAAACAAAGCAAAACAAAACTAAATCCCACTTAGAGTAAATACAGTAAGTTTGAAATCAGGCCAAGAGAGCAAAAATGTCAGATGAGGTAAAACTGCATGCCCTTTCCCCAGGAAATAAAAAAGGTCGAAGTGCTTTTAGAACTCAGCTACTGGTAAGAACTGTAGAGTCTAACTTTTGCTTACTCTTTTTTTTTTTTTGGAACCACAGAGAGTTCATTCACTGAACTATACTCATCTAATTGGTTGCATGTGTATCTTCCATAATTCAGCAACCACATGCCTGGCCTCTCACACCACATGAGGACTGTGCTGCTGGAAAAACAATGCCAGTGGCTCAAGCCCTGCTGTATACTCTGAACACGATCATGCCAAGATTCTGCTATCATTCCAATAGTTTAAGAGAAATCAAATGGCATGTGCCTGAATTTGAATGTCTTATTCTTTTACATCAACTTTTAGTTTAGAAGAGAATATTTTGCTTATGGGACGAGAGTTATAAGTTCTGGAAGCACAATCACAATGGTAGAGTGCCATTCTCATCAACTGTATCAAGGATACACACTATCAACATGGCATATCACTGATGATATTGACCTTCATCACCTGGTTGAGGTAGATATTGCTATGTTTCTCTACTGGAAAGTCACTCTCTTTTGCCCTTTTGAAAATAATCACTCTTCCCAGCCCACAGGTATCAGGTGAGGAGCTATTATGTTCTACTTCCTTGAGAGGGGGAAACTACCTACATAATTTTTTTCAGAATTCTCTGTATGGGAGATTTGTCTCTCATCCCCACTTTATCTATTTCTATCAATATAGACTCACGGAGACTAATTATACTTTGAGTATGATCCAACACTATATTATTTTATTGTTCAAATTTTTCCAGTTATGGCCATTAAGAACAATTCCAATTGACCCTACCTAAGCACCTAGATAGCATATTAAAAAGCAGAGACATTACTTTGCCAACAAAGGTCCATCTAGTCAAGGCTATGCTATTTCCAGTGGTCATGTATGGATGTGAGAGTTGGACTGTGAGGAAAGCTGAGTGCCGAAAAATTGATGCTTTTGAACTACGGTGTTGGAGAAGACTCTTGAGAGTCCCTTGGACTGCAAGGAAATCCAACCAGTCCATCCTAAAGGAGATCAGTCCTGGGTGTTCACTGGAAGGACTGATGCTGAAGCTGAAACTCCAATACTTTGGCCACCTCATGCGAAGAGTTGACTCATTGGAAAAGACCCTGATGCTGGGAGGGATTGGGGGCAGGAGGAGAAGGGGGCGACAGAGGATGAGATGGCGGGATGGCATCACCGATGACGGGCATGAGTTTGAGTAAACTCTGGGAGTTGGTGATGGACAGGGAGGCCTGGCATGGTGCGATTCATGGGGTCGCAGAGTCGGACACGACTGAGCGACTGAACTGAACTGACCCCTCTGACACACAGCACATTACTTTTGTGCTTTCTTGTTTTCTGCTCCTCCTACAGGCTCCAGGCTCATCTATATATTCCCTGCCCCAGAAATAGAAGTAACTATTTCTCCTAGAAGCTCTGGTTCTTTTTAGTGGAAAAGAATATTAGAAAACAACATCTGAATCTCAGTGAAATTCCTTAATGTTTTCTGATAATTGTTCTTAGAACCAGTTCATAGTGATAAACATTCATATACACATTTTTTTCTCACACATAAATGAAGGCACGATCTACTATACAGGCACACCTCGTTTTATTGCACTTTGACTTACTGTGCTTTGCAGACCTTGTATTTTTCACAAACTGAAGGTCCGTGGCAACCTGCATTGAGTAAGTGTATTGGCACTATTTTTCCAAAAGCATCTGCTTACTTGCCATCTCCATCACATTTTGGTGGTTCTATCAATGTTTCAAGCCTTTTCATTATTATTATATTTGTTGTGGAGAGCTTTGATCAGTGATTTTAATGTTACTACTATGACTTGCTAAAGACTCAGATAATAGTATTTTTTAGCAATAAAGTATTTTTTAAAATTAAGTTTTAAGGCATAATACTTTTATACATCTAATAGGGAAACTAAAAAAAAAAAATGTGTCTGACTCACTTTATTGAAATATTTATTGTGGTGGTCTGGAACTAAACCTGCAATATCTCAGATGTATACCTACATTGTGAGGTGAATTTGATGGTAGAATAATTTTTCTATAAGGTAATTTACTCTATAGATTAGGGCAGCAGCTCACAGGCTAAGCATGGAGATGCTGAATCAAGTGTAGTTTTTACATTTTTGAACAACTGGAAAAAAAGCAAAATAATATTTGTGACATGTAAAAGTTATATGAAATTCCAACTTCAACACCCATTAAGTTTTATTGGAATACAATCATGTTCATCTGTTTGGGTACTGTCCATGCCTACTTTCACTTCTACAACGACCAAGTTAAATTGTTGCAATAAATACCAAATATGGTGTTCTCATTGCTTCTCACTGTTGTTCAGCTCACCATAAATTTCAGTGACACAGTTATAACCAAATAGCATTTGAAGTGCCATAAATATCACCATATCATAATATTTTATTTTACCTTTATTAATAGTGCATACTCCTCACATCAAAACATTGAAAATAAAAGAGAGAAAAATCGGCTTTAAAATGTAACATTTTTAAAGCACAGCACACTGTGGATTTTTCTGCTATTAAGTTCAATAGCAAAGCACTCAGTTTATTTTTTAATGACAACATAGCTGTTTTAAAAAAATACAGTGTTATTAAAATCAGTGTATACTAACTAGAAGACTAAGCACTCATTACAATATTTCCCACTCAAAGAAAGACAACAGATAAATTAATAAAAAATGGAATGTTTCCTTAAGCAGAATTTCTTCACAATGATAAAAAGTCAAAATAAGCCCACAATTTAAGTTTCTTAGTGGCTCATTTGTTAGCCAAGGAAGGAAAGCCTTTAATTTAAGAGTGATTTAAGTAAAATAAGCCAAGAATGATTGCATTAGCAAAGAACTGTGTCTAATCAGTTTGTTTAAGACTATTAGCTTTTCTGTAAGAATAACTTCTTGAAGAGTTGAGAACATTGACAACATTAATAATTTTATTTAAAGGGACTTTTCTGAACAATATTCTTGGCTCTTAACACATTGACAGATGTTGCTGATACTACTTAGTTGTCTTTTATTTGATAAGTCAATGCCATGTTTGAATATACTGAAGAATTGGCCACTAAGAATAGCCTGCATGGAACAACTTCAACGAAGTTGAAAAAACACTAATTGATTACAGTCTGAAGTGGAATCTGTTAAGATGTGCTATAACTGATGGTGATAAAAAGTACCATTAGTTTAGAGAAATTTACTAAGGTTATTAGAGAAATTTACAAGGCTTATTAAAATGTACAGTTTTAAAAGTATCTTTATTCTTTGTAGTATTAATCAGCAAGCATTTGTATAAAACATTCATGAGTTATTAAGCCAGTACTGTCCATGGTGTATCTTAGTTGCTCTTATGGACTTAAATACCATCAGTTCCATGAATTTTTTTCAGAATTAAAAGGTGAATATAATAAATTATCCTAACTTATAGCCATTTAATGTCTTAATGATGGAAAAATTACATTTTAACTTTTTGAGCTTGGTACTAAGACTGAATTTTCTTTCAATGAGAGTTGTTCTCAAACACCATTATTGCCTACTGAATGGCTGTGGAACTTAGTTTTACTACCAACTTGACAATGTTTCTTAATAAATTCTAACTTAAAAATTATCAGACAAAATCAACTCTTAAATGCAAAATCTATATTGCTTAATAAGTCTTGCAAACGGTTTGTCAATTTTGCTTATTTTTTCAAAAAATCAGCTTTTAGCTTTGTTGATTTTTGCTATGGTCTCTTTAGTTTCTTTTGCATTTATTTCTGCCCTATATTTAAGATTTCCTTCCTTCTACTAACCCTGGGGTTCTTCATTTCTTCCTTCTCTAGTTGCTTTAGGGGTAGAGTTAGGTTATTTATTTGACTTTTTTCTTGTTTCTTGAGGTAAGCCTGTAATGCTCTGAACCTTCCCCTTAGCACTGCTTTTACAGTGTCCCATAGATTTTGGGTTGTTGTGTTTTCATTTTCATTCATTTCTATGCATATTTTGATTTCTTTTTTGATTTCTTCTATGATTTGTTAGTTATTCAATGTTCATCACAGCATTGTTTATAATAGCCAGGACATGGAAGCAACCTAGATGCCCATCAGCAGATGAATGGATAAGGAAGCTGTGGTACATATACACCATGGAATATTACTCAGCCGTTACAAAGAATTCATTTGAATCAGTTCTAATGAGATGGATGAAACTGGAGCCCATTATACAGAGTGAAGTAAGCCAGAAAGATAAAGACCAATACAGTATACTAACACATATATATGGAATTTAGAAAGATGGTAACAATAACCCTATATGCAAAACAGAAAAAGAGATACAGATGTACAGAACAGACTTTTAGACTCTGTAGGAGAAGGCG